AAGTGAAATAAATAAAACCCAAAGGGCCAATACCAGCAGCAACAATGCACACATTACATACTTGTTAGACTCGCAGCGGTTCTCAACCTGTGGGTCACGAACTATGAAAAGACATCCTGCATATCAGATATTTACATTACGATTCATAACAGTAGCAAAATTACAGTTATGAAGTAGCAGCGAAAATAATTTTATGGTTGGGGGTCACCACAACATGAGGAACTGTATGAAAGGGGTCGCGCACTAGGAAGGTTGAGAACCGCTGGCTGTGCCCCACGGGCCAGGCCAGGGCCTACCTGAGGCCCAGCAGGCTGTTGTGCACAGCCTGGCCGTGGCCGTGGCCGTGACCGTGGCAGTGGCCGTGGAAAGCGCCCAGGGGGAGAGGCACGTGTGTCGGGAGCGGAGCCCGGGGCTGTGGGGGCACAGGTGGCGGCTGCGGGGTGAGGCGGGGCAGGGCGAGTGTCTCCTTCTTGACCAGCGGGCTGGCAGGGGCGCCGAAAAGATAAGAGTCATCAAGCACAACTGTAATTTATGTACATTTGTTTTTAAAAAAGCAGGATTCTTTTTAGGCTCGGTGCTCAGCTCGCGGCTGCGCTCCAGGCCCGAGACCTTGGGTGCCAGCCCGGCCTTGGCCTCTGACTTCTCGCCTAGCGTGGGGCCTGTGGAGAGAGGCCCCGGAATGAGCCCATGAGCCCCACAGCCTGCGAGGTCACAGCCGGGCCCAGCCCACCGCCCCTCCCGGGGCCAGCGGAGGGGCGGGCACAGGCCCCGCGCGTTCCCCAGCTGGGCATGCTGCGACCCCATGTTACAGCCGCCCTGCGACTCCGTATTTCCTGGCTCGGGTTCCAGTGACCAGGCCAGGGCCTTGCTCTGTCTGGGCACATCAGATGGGCCTCCCGGCAAAGGGGCCCTTCTGTGGGCTGGGCCTGGTGACCAGCCCTCTGGGCCCAGCCAGGCCTGACAGGAACACTGTGCACCTGCCCGTCCACACAGGGCCACCGGCTCGGGGCAGGTGAGCCGAGGGGGAGTCCATGGTGTCCATGGCGGCCGGCCCACCAGGGGGCGGAGCCCAGGCCAGGGCCTTCTGGCTGACGCACACCCCTTTCCCTCCTTCCCCGTCTTTCCTCGCGACTTTCTCTTGGGGACACAGCCTCACGCCCGACAGGGCGCAGCAGGCCCCGGAGAACCGGTCCTTCCCGAGGCTGGAGCCCGGCCACGGGTGCTCTTACCTTTCTCGGCTGCCGGGGCAAAGAGCTTCTCGGAGCCCACAGACGCCTGGAAGAGAGAGGAGGGTCAGAGCCAGGGGGTAGACGGCCCTGAGCCCTGCCCTGGCGCCGGGATCAGGTCTGGGCAGGTTCTTGAGCCACAGCCCACGTGGGAGGGTGGCCACACGGGACACTCGGCCCTGCTCAGTGGCAATAAGAGGGCTCGGGGAGGCCCTGCCAGGTGGGCGGGGACTTGGGAGCCCAGGCTCCGCTGGGCTTCATGGTGGGTGATGGAGCAGAGCACACGGCGCCCCCCCACAGCCAGGACGGCAGGACATGGCCTGCCATGCCTCAGACCTCCCTGCACCAGGCCCGTCACAGGCCTGGGGACCACGGCCACAGTGCTGTGCCCAGTGCCCAGGGCAGCGTGGCCTCCGGGGTTGGGCAAAGAGGAACGTCCCCACCTCACCACTCCTGGAGGCAGCCGCGCGGGGGCTATTGGGGTCGGGACGGGGAGTCCCCCCCATAGACCTTTCTCCCTGGCCGCTCTTGTTAAACACCTTCCTGGACTGTAAGCCGCGTGCCACACGGTTCACCGCTGAAGGCGTGCAGCTGACAGGTTTGTGCCCTGGGCAGCCTTCACCGTGATCAGTGCCCCACATTCTCGTCGCCCACACTCACATCTCCCAGCCCTCCCTCTGCTGGGTCTGCAGATGCCCCCACCCTGGACTTTCGGGTGCACAGGCAGCCAGGGGCTGCTGTCGGTGGGCTGACCGAAGCACCAAAGGTGCACCCCATGAGGACATCCCCAAAACGGGAACCAGGGAGAACAAGGCGGCAAATGCATCCTGAACACACTGCTGACGACAGGCAGGGGCAGGACCCGTTGGCACAAAGGTGGGAGGGAGCAGGCAGCACAGGCCCCACCTCCCTACCCCACTGACGGGCAGTGCAGGGTCTTCCCTCCCTGCCAGACCACGGAGCCACCTGTGACTCCTCACCCACCCAGAGGACACACTCCTACACAGGCACCACTGCTGTGACCTCTTCCCGTGTTTTTTTCCGGCACCTTCTACATGGTGAGTAGCAGCTGATAGGTTGTTAGAGCCCTGCTGAGTCCCCATGGGGGTGGGAGGCTACCTGAGCTGGGGGTCTGCAGGGGAGCTGGGCGGGGTGTCAGCCCTGGGGGCACTGGCATGCCTGCCCGCCTGGTCCCAGGCCCCTTCCCTCAGGCGAGCGCGGCAGCCTCTTCCCTGTCTTCAGGGTCCCAGACCTGAGACACTGCCGGTGGCTGATGGTGATGAACTGGCACCTGTCACCTTCCCGGGCTGGGCCCTGGGTGGG